ATGTCATGTAAACAGAATCACACAACAGGTGACTTTTGTGTCTGGCTTTTTCCTGTCAGCATTTGTCAAGGTTCATCCACAGTGCAGCATGGATCAGTGTTCTATGTTATGACTAAATAATTATAAAACTGGACATTTGGATTATTTTCAACTTTTGGCTATTACAAACATTTGTGAACAAATAACTTGTTTGAGTGCCAGTTCTCAGTTCTTTGGGGTATTTACCTATAAGTAGAATTGCTGGATCATGTGGTAACTCTGTTTAGTTTTGTGTGAGCTGCCCCATCTCTTTCCACAGCAACTATACCACTTTACATTTCCAGCAGCTGTTTCACTTTAGCTATCCTACTTCCTAAAGGGTGTAAAGTAGCACCTCACTGGGGTTTTGATTTGCATGTCTAGCACTCTTGATAGAGGAAACAAAGCAGGGCAGGACACATTTACAAATATCACATCCTCAGGTCCAACTTCGGCTCACTGAGGTCAGAAATCACAAGATTCTGACTTTCCCTTTGTGTTGAAGCTTAGAACCCCGAGAGCTGAATGAGATACACAGGCCCTCTCCCAGACCTCCTGTGCCCAAAGTCATCAAGTGGTTGCCTGGGAAGGACACTGAGTGTGCTGAGGTCACACAGGGGCTGCTATGCAACCACTTATGATGCTTCACCATGGCTCGCACCATCAGTGCCTGCCTGATGCCTGGTACTTCCTTTTCCAGTGTGCTCCAACTGATTTCCAACCAAAAGATCAGAAGGTCCCTTTCCAAGTGGAAATGTAGGTTGTCAGGATCACTGCTAATCAGGCCCCAAATCGCCCTCTCTAGCTCAGCCCCCAGTCTTCTGAATTATGGGAGCCAGTGGGTGCTGGTTTTGCTCACAGCACAGTACAAGGTTCCAAAGATGTGCCCACCTCAAGAAAGAGGCACAGGCTATCTCTCCTTTCACAGACCAACCTCAGTAGCTACGTAGCACTATCTCCTCTGCGCTCACACAGTCATATAGGTAGGGTTGCTCGATCAGAGAGGGAGGCCTGAGGATGTGGCAAGGTAAGGTTCTGCATGAGCAGGAGGGACTGGAAATATTTCTGTGGTCATTTTTGGAAAATATAATCTGCCATAATATGGAACAAAAAACTACTCAGAATCAAGGCAACCACTCTCCATAACATGTAAGTGTACATGTGCATGTATTTGTGTATATGTATACATGAGTGTGCCTATACTACAGGCTGTGTACATGTGCAAGTGTGAATGTGAATGTGCATTGGTATCTAACTGCAGCTCTCCCCTCCCTCCCCACTCTCTCTGGTCACATGGCCTTTGCCTCTGCATCATTCTCTCCTGTCTGCTCATAGCCACAACTCAGCTCCTAAGCTCTGGGCCTCAGTTCTTCCTGCCTTCCCAGAATCTCTCCCCCCTTCCCTTGGGAACAGGCAGCCCCCCTCACTTCTTTTGGAAGACTTCCCAGTGAGTGGCCACTCCTTGGGGGTGGGGGCACATGACCGGAGATGGGCCAATCCAACTCTGTCCTGGGAATCTGATTTGAGTAGAGGCTCCCAAGGGCTGGAAGCTGGTCACAGTTCCAGAAACACATGCTGTCCAGTCCTTGATCCCAAACCCCAAAGGCTACCTTACTGGTTCATGCTGTCAACTCTGCAAGCTCTCAGAAGTTAAACACTTTTCGGATTAAATTAGCCAAAATTGCTTTTTGCTACTTGCAAAGAACCCTGATAAATATGTTATTTAGTTCCATCCCCACACAGAGGCTCTGTAGCCATGCCTGATCCCCTCACGCACACAATTCTAGATGACTGGAGGCTGAGATGGAGACAAGGTGACCTCGGTCATGATTAGCAGTGATTCTTACAACTTTCTCAGACAAAGGACATTGTCTCAGGCTGAGCAAATACTCCAGAAGGTGCGTCCTTGATGCACTCTCATTTAACCTCTACAGTTTCACATCCCCAATTTACAGACACAGTAACTGAGGGACAGAGAAGGCTGAACATGGATTTCACAAAACACTGTCTGACTCTTTAGGGTGTACTTTGTCCATGGCATTTAAAGTGCATCCAAAGGTCAGGTCCCAGAAATGCAGCCCCAACTCATCCAATCCAACAGCATCCAGCGGCAGCCCTGGCCATCCTGATAAGGCAGAGGCTAAGAAAAAAGACATGGTTTTGGTGGCACTGCATCAGACATAGCTACTCAGCCATTGCTCCAAGTCACGCAGCCTCACATGGCAAACACATGCTGTTGAGATCCCGCCCCAGGGATCAACACTGACAATGGAAGAAAAGCTCAATCCTGTGTTTACAGACTTAAGGATCCTAAGTCAGTCCTGTGGTCAGAGCTGCCAGAGATTCTGTGTGAATGACCAGATGTGTCCTCTTTACTGAATGGACTCCATGCTGCAAATGGGACCACTGGCTCCACAGCTGCTGAAGCCACTGGGCTTGTCTTCAGAAGGTCCCCATGTGACTTGGTGACAAATTCTACCAATTTGTCAGTATGCCTGTCTCAAGTGTAAAAGCCGATTGTTAGGATTGTTGGCAAATAAGAAAGATGCCGTAGATGCAAAATTTTCCAAAGCATAATACTACTACTCTGTGGGTGCTGCTCTGTCGTACACGCAGCCTTGTGTGAAGCACTTCCCCTGCATTGTTCCTTCGGGCTTCATATCAGCTGGAGGAAATATATCATCACCCCCATTCCATAGAGGAGGCAGCTGAGCTCCACAGAGTCATGGCCACAGTCACCCTGCTATAGTCTAACCCACATTATTTAAGTTGCAAATAACTTTGTTTATGCCCAACTTTAAGTAGTATAAAAAATAAAGGGTATTTCTTCACTTTTGAAACTGTGAACTTGAGGGCTGATTTGATTCCTTACACAGTCATCAAGAGTGATTTTTTCCTCATCTTTCCTGTCTGCTTCATCAGCAAGGGGCTCCCCCTCAGGAAAGCAAAATGACTGCAGCAGCACAATCCACATAGCACAGGTCCAGAAAAGAGAAGCTCCTTTCCCAGAATCCCCCAGCAAACACCTTCTCCAGATTCAGTGACCCTAATTGAGCCTCCCACCACCCTCAATTGTGCTCAGGGCATACAGTGCCAATAGTGTGCCCCTTAAAGCCAGGGGGGTCTCTAACCTCCCCAACCCCCAGGAACAGAGAAGGAATAAAAGCCTGGGTTGCTCCCAAGAAAAAGGAGAGTGAATGCTGGGCAGGACATATCACAACTGGAGGGCTGTGAAGTAATGATTTGACCTAGGCCTGTCCATTCCAACAGCATTTACTGAGCCTTTGCCAAATGTCGGTCAGGCATAATTTTAACTTGCTGGAGATACAAACCAAAAGGTCTCTGCTCTCCTATCCTACTGCAGGCTCTGCTGCCTCTCAAGTGTTACATTTTTAAAAGGACCTAGAGCTAGATGAATGTTCTCCTAACAAGCTTTTCTGGGCTTAAATTGATTATGTGACTCCAGGCTGGTTATTTAATTTCTGTCTCTCAGCCCCTCATCTATAAAAATCAGTAATAACAAAACCTCTCAAAGAGTTATGCAAAAGAAAAAAAAGGGCTTAGATGGGAAATGAATAAAGTTAGAAGCAATCCAACACCCAACCTACTGGACAGACAGTAATTCTCATTCTCATTCCATTCCACTGATGCTATCTATGATTTGGATTTTTGTACAGTAAATCCTAATATGACTACTACAGGGCTTATAAAGCCATTTTATTGTGACTACTGGTCCAAAGACGTTCATTCACCCTCTGCCTCCAATTTATCTTTTAATAATCCAACCTTTCCACCTACTAAAAGCATAGGGTAAGGGTGGCCCATATACTAAATAGTCCACCTAGGAACTAAACTTGTCCCGCAATCTGAGGGCTCTCAGGAATGCACGCAAAGGGAGCCAAAAGGATACCAAGAAAGTACTGGTTAAAGTTCATTTAATCTGGCCATTCTCAGAAAGTTCTCCTGGCTTCGCAATGAATTAATTGGCCTCAGGCCAGCAGATGGAGTTAATTTTGTGTCTGAAGAAAGCAACTCACTAACTTTTCTAAAATTTACAGTTTACAGTTTCTCAAGTGCCCACAAGAAATGGTTCCATTCTGTTGAGCCCGTTGTTCTTAAGAGCCAGTAAAGATTCGGCCCTCATTGCACCACAGCTGAAATGTAGCTGGTTTGGACGCTGAAGAACAGTTAACACCGCACCCCGACTTTGCCGCACAGTGGAGCTCCTCACTTCACCGGAGGCAGACTAACCTAGCTCCCCTGTAGCGTCTTGTCACTTTCCAGCCTTACCCACATCCTCACCCTCACCTCTTCTCGCATTTGACTAAAGTCAGTTTAAGACGTCAGCTCTCAGAGGCTTAAACTACAAAGGGGAAGGATCAGCTCGGGCGGCTGGCCGCGCAGACCTCTGCAGAGGCCCCGCCGCCTCCCGGAGCGGGGCGTCCAGCCTCCCGGGCGCCCAGCGAGCCTCCCGGCGCCCGCGCGATGTGCCTAAGTGACGCCTCGGTGGGATCGGTCTGCGGCTTCTCGTGCTGCTCTGCGACTGTTTCCCCCTACTGCCTCAAGACGTTAAGACTAGGAGTCTGAAATCATCTAAATCATCGCGGGCTCACGCCCATGTCCCGCTCGTTACTTCCAAGCGACCTCCCAACCTGCTGAACAGAGAAGACTTCATCCCTAGTTCCGGGGGCGGGACATGGAAGCTGTCATTCAATCAGAGATCCCACCAAACCAATCGCGCCTGATTTTGTGTCCCAGTTAGACCAATAAAAACTCGAGCGCGGATTTGCCGGGGGCTTCTGGGAAGGTGACACTCCTGGAAGCCACCGCCTCCTTCGAGCCACACCTGGGCGGAGGTAGTCTCCTGCCCGCCCACCTGCTGGCTGACCGAGCTGCCAGTCACAGAGAGGCGGGAGCGGGCGGGGCCAAAGTGCTAGAGTCTGCGCCGAGCCAGCCTGGCCGCGCGCGTATAAACTGCGACGGAACATTCCCGGGCTCTCAGGTCCTGGCAACACCAACGGAGCGTCCCGGGAGAACGAGGAGGGGAAAAGCTCAGCTCTTCCCGCGCTCCCTCTCGCGGCCTCGGCAGACCTACCCCGTGACCAGCGCTGGGCCCTCGGAGGAGCTCGGCCCGCGCAGGAGGACGGGGGCGTTCCCGACAGTAGGTTGCGAGGCCGGTGCAGACCTGAGCGTTACCACGCAGGTAGGTTGCCGACCCTCCCCCTCCCGGGGCCAGTGCGCAGGCCGGGACGGCCCCAGAACAGCCCCGTTGTCAACAGTGAGACGCGCGCGGGTTTGCCTTCGTCCACGCGGTGCCGTTGCAGGCTGCATCGGGTTTTGCCTGTTGAGAACGCGTGGCAGCAGATTCGCCTTGGGAGGGGGAGAGGAGCGCCCTGCGCGGAGCAGTTTTCAGGCGGAAGGTGGCGGGAAGGGCATGCTCCGTCCAGCGCGGGTGAGAAAGCGACTCGCGCCGGAAACGCGGCCTGCGCGGCTGTGGAGACGACTCTGGACCCGCGTCGGAGACGGGACGGCGACCTTACAGCCTCTTGCTTCCCTTCTCCGCCTTCCTCTTCGCCTCTTTCTGATTTGAGCGAGACGAGGCCGTTACCGCGTGGGTGATGAGAAACCCAGCGCGGAGGTGGTCATTTACTGGGTATGGGGGCGCGACTGGTCGTAGGACCGCTTAGAGGAGCAAAGAGCGAGCGGGGAGCAGAGGGGGAGAAGGAAGGTCTCCGGGGGAGCTGAGGTAGTGAGGGACTGGCGCTCCGAAGGAGGCGGGGAGGTCGGGTAGAAATTCCAGCCAGAGAGAAATGGGGGCCCCTGCAAGGAATTTCCAAGCCACCAGTCCTGGAGTTGTGTTCCTACAGACTTGGTTTCAGAAGTGTAGGAACTTATAAAATAAGCAAGTAGAAGGACAGCACAGTTTTGACAAAATTTTCAGAGCCTCTCGTGTTCTTAACAAATGATAAATTAGGATTGTTATTTTATGCCCCTGATCCAGCCATAAGTTTCCCTTTACCCATTTGTAAAATTGTCACAGTAAAAACCTTCTCATCCGTTTGTGATGACAGTTAAATGAGAAGTGTGTATAAAGCATTTAGCAAATACAGTCAGCCCTCCGTATCCCAGGGTTCTACATCTGTGGATTCAACAATTGTGGGTCAAAAATATTAAGAAAAAAATTCTTGGCTCTGCGCCTGTAGCTTAAGCGGCTAAGGCTCCAGCCACATACACCTGAGCTGGAGGTTCGAATCCAGCCCCGGCCTGCCAAACAACAATGACGGCTGCAACCAAAAATTAGCCAGGCGTTGTGGCGGGCGCCTGTGGTCCCAGCTGCTTGGTAGGCAGAGGCAGGAGACTCGCTTGAGCCCAGGAGTTGGAGGTTGTTGTGAGCTGTGATGCCAAGGCACTCTACCCAGGGTGACAGCTTGAGGCTCTGTCTCAAAAAAAAAAAAAAAAAGTCTTTCTGTACTGAACACATGCAGACCTTATCATCTTCTAAACAGTGTAATATAACAACTTTTCACATAGCATTTACATTGTATTAGCTATTGTAAGCTAGAGATGATTTTAAATATACAGGAGGATACACATAGGTTATAGGCAAATACTGCAAATACTGCACCATTTTATGTCACGGACTTGAGCATCTGTGGATTTTAGTGTCTTCATGAGGTTGAACCAATCCCCCACATATATCAAGTGACAACCGACTGTACCTGGTTTAGAGTGTTTGTTGAGGCAGGATCAATGTCTGTGATGGCTTCTTAACTGCTCATGTCTGGAACCAGGCTTCCTCCCAGCTCTTCACTAGAGCACCACCACCATCTTTGTCAGCCTTTACAGTACCTGACTCTTTGCCAGCACTGTGTGGACTCTTTTTTTCGTTTTGTTTTTTTTCTTTTCTTTATTTATTTATTTTTTTTCAGACAGAGTCTTGAGCTGTTGCCCTGTGTAGAGTGCTCTGAAATCATAGCTCACAGCAGCCTCCCACTCAGGCCCAAGCATTCCTCTTGCCGCAGTTTTCTATTTTTTTTTAAAGTAGAGACAGGGTCTCACTTTTGCTCAGGCTGGTCTTGAACTTGTGAGCTAAAGCAATCCACCCGCCTCGGCCTCCTAGAGTGCTAGGGTTATAGGTATGAGCCACCTCCCCCTGCACTTTTATCTTTTTCATAAGCGATATTTAAGGAAGAAAATTGACAGTTAACAGACGTCTTGAATTCTAATGAACCTTTCAGTTGTGGCATTGTGGCTCCACAGGACTTACCTGGTAGGTATTAGCACCCACAGAAGCTAGATGTCCTCCCTTCAAACTCCTGCTCATTCAGGAGGTCTGCTTCTTATAGTTCATCATGGGGATTATGGCCACTGTTTTGGTCCCATTCTCATGGCTTTGCTGTTTTACACTCTTAAGAAACTTGCCTTCTCAGGCAGCGCCTGTGGCTCAAAGGAGTAGGGGGCCAGCCCCATATGCTAGAGGTGGCGGGTTCAAACCCAGCCCCAGCCAAAAACTGCAAAAAAAAAAAGAAAAGAAACTTGCCTTCTCCTGCCCCCAGTCCCTGCTGGGTGAGCTCACAACAGGCCTTCCCAGACTCACCAGCTGACAAGCATATTTCATTGGTGCAATTGGCCTTTACTGGGCTAATGACTACTCTTCAACTTGGCCCACTGTCTTTATTCAGGAGTGGTTGCACCTGTTCCAAGCTTCCAGTAAAGGGTGGCCTTCCATAGTTAAATGGACTCTATCTTATAATATGAGCTTTTTAAAATTTATAGTACCGGCTTGGCACCCATAGTTCAGTGGTTAGAGTGCCAGCCACATAAACTGGAGCTGGCAGGTTCAAACCCTGCCCGGAACTGCTAAACAACAACTGCAACAAAAAAATAGCTAGGCATTATAGCAGGCACCTGTAATCCTAGCTACTTGGAAGGCTGAGGCAAGAGAATTGCTTAAGCCCAAAAGTTGAGGTTGCTATGAGCTGTGACACCACAGCACTCTACTGAGGGCAACATAGTGAGACTTTGTCTCAAAAAAAACAAACAAAATTTATAATATGGTTGGCCCTCCTTATCTGCACAGGATTGGTTCTGAGATCTTTAGTGGATACCATATCCCTTCTGTGCTCAACTTCCTTATATAAAATGGCGTAGCACAATTGGCCCTCTGTGTTTGTGAGTTTGTATCCACAGTTGTTGGCTCCACCAGTTTAAAACAGCGAACTAATCATATTCTAAACACAGAGGTACTGAGCTTTTTAATTAAGTATTGGAGGTACACTGTGGTGATATTCTCTTTTCCATCAGCAAGCACAGGCTTTTACAGTAGAAAAGGAGGATTGTTCAATTGTCAGAGCAGAATGAACTTTGCATTCATGTAGATTCTTTTCACCCTTACTGTCCTACAGCCCCTGGCTCCCCAAGTCAGAAGAAACACCCTGGTGGAGACCTCCTCCCACAGAACCAGAGATGGCCTCCGTGGATTTCAAGACATATGTGGATCAGGCCTGCCGAGCTGCCGAGGAGTTTGTCAACGTCTACTATACCACCATGGATAAGCGGCGGCGTTTGCTGTCCCGCCTGTATATGGGCACAGCCACCCTGGTTTGGAATGGAAATGCTGTTTCCGGACAAGAATCTTTGAGTGAGTTTTTCGAAATGTTGCCTTCCAGTGAGTTCCAGATTAATGTGGTAGACTGCCAACCTGTTCATGATGAAGCCACACCAAGCCAGACCACAGTCCTTGTTGTGATCTGTGGAACGGTGAAGTTTGAGGGCAACAAACAACGGGACTTCAACCAGAACTTCATCCTGACTGCCCAAGCCTCACCCAGCAACTCTGTGTGGAAGATTGCAAGTGACTGCTTCCGGTTCCAAGACTGGGCCAACTAGTGGGGACAACAAAGGTCTCTTTGCTTCAGCCCCAACTCTGTAGAGACAGATCTCAAATCTCAGATGTGGGAAACACAGGTTCATTTCTGTTATTGCAGGGGCACTGCAAGACTACACTGTGCTGAGGCTGAATTGGAGTTGTTCAAGTTCTAGGTGCCCCATTCCTAAGTATACTTGTTTGTCATAGTTTCCTTTTAAAAGTAGTAAACTTTTGTATTTTTCTACTTGACCAGTGGAGCCCCTGATTCTGGAAATTCTAACAAATAATATAGTAATACAAATGTTATTTCTTCCCCTTGCCTGATGTATTTGATTAGGTTTTGAGGAAGGCGGAGAAGGAAGGTTAAAGGCAAAAAGCCCAGTAGAAAGCCTCTGCAGAGGTATGAGGTCCAGGTATGAGGTTCAATAGGTATGCACACAGGTGACCTGGAACTGTGGCTCACAGCCTTCTGCACATTAGAATCCTTGGGGACACTGAAAGTTGCCTATGTCCAGACCACACGCCAGACTAGCTACCCCAAATCTCTGAGGGAGTGCTGTGTGTTGGCATTTTTCAAAACCATTCTAGTTGTCTAATGTGTAATTCACTTTAGGATACATCAGAATCACCTAATCTCTGTCCTACCTTAGTACCTTAGCTAAAAGTTGAATGATGGAAAGGGTAGGGTGCTGGCCCCATATGCCGGAGGTGGCGGGTTCAAACCCAGTCCTGGCCAAAAAAAAAAAAAGTTGAATGATGAAAACAGATGAAAGACTAAACTGCTTACAAATGAGTCATATTGAACTTTCTTATAAAGAGAAAGTGAGCCTAGGCAACAGAGTGAGAACCTCATCTCTAGAAAATTTTTTAAAAAATTAACTTGGTATGAGAACAGATGCCTACAGTCGCAGCTACTAAGAAGGCTGAGTCAGGAGGATCACTTGAGCCCAGGAGTTCGAGGCTACAGTGAGCTAGGACTGTGTCACTGCACTACAGCCTGGGTGACAGAGCAATACCCTCCCTCTAAAAGAAAATAAGAGAAAGTCCCTGAGCACTGATTCTAGAAGGAAGAAGCACTGATGCTGGGGTGGGGGAAGAGCATCAGAATTAGAAACTACTTTTATCAACCCTGAAACCCAACCTAATTGCATTTCTCTAATAGAATAGAAAACCCTGCAGAAGGTTCCATCATCCTTGAACCAATAGATGACATCTTGTCACCCCATGGCTTCCCCAGTTCTCTTTGATAAGAGTGCTAGATTTGCTGCAAAGGTGTGAATTAGGAATTTAGAATGGGAAAATTTGAGATCGAAAGAGTCCTGATGTGTACCGTGGCATAGCTGTTTCCTCTTCATCAGTTCTGGCCAATGAAGTAGAAGGAGATGGGAATCTTGCTTCAGTAGACCATCTCACGACCTCTGTCCTGCTTCTGGGAAGCAATTATGGTGGCTAGACCACTGGCTGAGTCTTGGGCCATGAGGACAGCTCAGCTACACCCTCAAGGTAGAATCCTATAGGAGCCTGGGTCCCTGGTGAATGTGAAACCACCAAAATAGCCCCAGTTCACCTACTGCAGTATTTCTTTTAAAATGAGAAATCTTGTTTTAAGCCATTATCTACTTGGGGTATGTGCCATATGTTGTAGCAATTATCCTAAGTAAGGAAAAGATTTGCAATAGGCTGACTGTATTTATTTTAAGTAAATGCCTTGTCAAAGCCACATCTAAAGAATGGCCAAAGGAGCTATACAGACCTTGCATAGCAAGCTGAGACAATAGTAAAATGTGTGTGAGAAGCAAAGTGAGGCTCTAAAGCAACATGTAGATTGTCTGAGAGAGATCCCAACACTGTCCTGCAGGAAGACCCACAAGGAAGGAGAAAGGAGTGGCAGGAGCAAGGGATCTGTGCAAAGAGTGGTTTGGAGGGAGAAGCTGCTGGGCATTGAATCTTCTTACCCCACACCTCTCCCAGGCTGTTTGGGGGAACAGCACTATCCTCACCTCAGTGGGCACAGGTCTCAGTAACTGAGAGAGCTTGACATGAACTCCTGCGTAGTCTGAATCACATTGGCCAGAGACACCTCAGAACAGAGGGCTTCTTACCCTCACTCCAGATTGTCTCCAAGTCAGCAGAAACAGGCATATGCCTTCTCAGTTTCAAACAAGCCAAATCCAGAAGATTCTTCATTTCCTAGTGTCTGAGAATATCTAAATCTGAATTAACATGGCTCACAAGGACCTTTCAGCTTTTCTCATTGTACATTTCATCCCCTGCCCCCTACTGCTTGCTCCTTAGCCAGAATCCTCCAAGCCACTCTGATCTTCTCCTCCCCTAGGTCTCAGCTCCTGCCTCTCACCACTCCTGGGATCTCACCACCTCTGCCTTCTGCTTCTGCCCAACTCCTCCCCCACCAAAGTGGCCTTCATCAAATTCAAACCAAAGAAGCCAACAGACCTTGCTGTTACCTTCTCCTGACCACTGGGTTACCTCTGAATTGAAGAGCAGACCCAGGGACTTAGAGAAGTAAACTCAAGAGAGTGAAGCACAGAGAAAGGGAAATGGCTACTCCTTTTTTCTACCTGACAACCTTTTCCTGTTTGTTGTAGACCAGAAAAAAAATGCAATTGACCTTCTCTTTGAGGTTAGTCCTCACAGTGCTTTCACCCAGGATTACAAATCTTAATTTCTGTGATCTGTACTTGATGTACCGTATTGTCTTAGCCAAATTTATAAACCTTATTATGCTGTAATGTGTCTTTTCAGGTAAGACTTGAGATATTTTCTAATTTTTTTTGAACCAACAAAATGTACAATTTATCAAACTAAGCAGAGAAAAAAAGCTCAAGCTGCACAAATAGCACATGCAAAGGTACAGAAAGATTTCTGATTAATACACAACATGGTAGATAAACAGACATAAATGGAATCTATGCCTCCCCCAAAGAGACAGAGATCTTTAGCATCTCTGCAATTGTCATAAAGCAGATAACACTTCTCTGGAAAAGCAGTTTTTATATGGATTTTAAAGTAATATTATTTTGGAGTTAATTGTTTCTCTAATTCCTTGCTTGATTTGATAGAGCTACTAATTAATCTTTGAATATTGAATTCCATATCTCATAGGCCAATTTTTTTTCCCAAAGGTACATCTGACTATAGATTACAGAAACAATCATTAATCCTGTCAGACATTATTTTCTGAATAGAAAAAGACAAAGGCTAGATCATAGAACTTACATTTCTTTGGGGTTTTTTTGTTTGTTTTCCAAAGTCTCAAAAAATAGACAACTAATATTTATAAATAAAAATAGAAGATAATTTCAAGAAGCAGATCATGCCAGGTCTTACAGACAATAGAAAAAGAAGAAATATGGGGGCGGCACCTGTGGCTCAGTAAGTAGGGCGCTAGCCCCAAATACCAAGGATGGTGGGTTCAAACCCAGCCCTGGCCAAACCGCAACAAAAAAAATAGCTGGGTGTTGTGGTGGGCACTTTATAGTCCCAGCTACTTGGGAAGCTGAGGCAGGAGAATCTCCTAAGCCCAAGAGCTGGAGGTTGCTGTGAGCTGTGACACCAAGGCACTCTACCAAGGGCGACAAAGTGAGACTCTATCTCTTAAAAAAAAAACAAGAAGAAATACTTCAAATTCATTCTACTTCATCTGGATATACCTGATATTGAAATTGGAAAAAATAAATTATTATAAAGGGAAATTACAAATATATTTCACTTATAAATGAGGATGCAATATCCTAAATGACATATTAACAAGTTGAATTAAAAATTATTGTTCAAATACTGTACTTTGGTCAAAATTAAATCCAACTTATGTGAGAATTAGTCACTATTTTTTTTTCTTTTCCTTTCCCCCACCCCTTACTCTCTGCTCTCCCTTTCCCCCACCTTCCCACCATGTCATTAATTGTCATTGATTGTCCTCATATCAAAGTTGAATATATAGGATTCATGCTTCTCCATTCCTGTGATGCTTCACTAAGAATAATGTGTTCCACCTCCATCCAGGTTAGTACAAATGCTGCAAAATCTCCAATTTTTTTAATGGATTAATAGTATTCCATGGTATACATATACCACAGCTTGTCAATTCATTCCTGGGTTGAGGAGCATTTAGGTTGTTTCCACATTTTGATTGTAAATTGAGCTGCGATAAATAGTCTAGTACAAGTGTCTTTAATAATAAAAGGATTTTTTTCCTTCTGGATAGATGCCCAGTAATGGGACTGCAGGATCAAACGGGAGGAATAGGTTGAGTTCTTTGAGGTTTCTCCATACTTCCTTCCAAAAAAGTTGTACCAGTTTGCAGTCCCATCAGCAGTGTCAAAGAGTTCCTTTCTCTCCACATCCATGCCAGCATGTGCAGTTTTGAGATTTTTGTGATATGGGCCATTCTTACTGAAGTTAGATGACATCTCAGGGTGGTTTTAATTTGCATTTCTCTAATAATTAGTGATGATGAGCATTTTTTTCATGTTTGCTAGCCATTTGTCATCTTTAGAAAAGGTTCTGTACATCTCTCTTCCCCATTGATGTATGAGATTATTGGCTTTTTTCATGTGGATTAATTTGAGTTCTCTGTAGATCCTAGTTACTAAACTTTTGTCTGATTCAAAATATGCAAATATCCTTTGTGTAGGTTGTCTATTTGCTTTGGTTGGTGTCTCCTTAGCTATAAGCTTTTCAGTTACTTAAGTCCCATTTGTTTATTTTTGTTGTTGCAATTGCCATGGCAGTCTTCTTCATAAAGTCTTTCCCTAGGCCGATATCTTCCAGTGTTTTTCCTGTGCTTTCTTTGAGGATTTCTATCATTTCATTCCTTAAATTCAAGTCCTTTATCCATCTTGAATCAATTTTTGTGAGTGTAGAAAGGTGTGGGTCCAGTTTCAGTCTTTTACATGTGGATATACGGTTCTCCCAGTACCATTTATTGAATAGGGATTCTTTCCCCCAGTGTACGTTCTTGTTTGGTTTATCGAAGAGACTTAAGATATTTTCAAATATGGCTCTGTTAGCCATTGGAATGCGCAGAAAGCAGTGCATACCTTCAACAGTGAGAGTAAAATTAATACATGTATTTTGCTGGTTGTCCTGAATCTTAGCAATGACAGAGACACATGCAGGCTTCGGGGACTTTCCAGAATTCTGGCTATCCTCCCCTGCTCCTCTTGCTTCTCAGCCCCAACCTCCTGCCCGGTCCCTCTGCAGAGGAGAAACTGCACAGAGAGTTCAGAAATGTCTGTCCAAAAAGCTGGATTTTGGCAGCAAAGCATTATGTCCTCAATTCTGATGGTCTG